TATTTTAATCACTTTACCCAATAATGTTCAAGTGTCCACTTTTATGTCTAATAGTGTTCAATCCTTGATTCTTTATGATGTTCTTTATGTACCAAAATTTCGTGTTAATTTAATTTTGGTTTAGAAAATGATTCACGCCCTCAATTGTAACTTGTCTTTTAATTTTGATTCTTGTTTTATTATGCAAAATACTTCCAGGAAGATGATTGGTTCAACTAACTTACACCAAGGATTATACGTGATAATCGGCCTCCTCGTCACCCTAATTCTCCTACTGTTGCAGCTCACACCAATACCACTAGTTCCAAATATGCTTCCGTTTGGCACATTAGATTAGGTCACCCTTTTGATTCCATTTTACGTATTGTTTTATTCCTTATTGTAAACATACTTCTCCTTATGACATTTGTCTTTTTTGCTAAACAAAAGAAATTTGTCATATCACATTGGTGAAAATTTTTCAAATAAAATCTTTGATATTCTTCATGGAGATATTTGGGGACCCTATTTTGTACCTTTCTTTATCTGGTCATAAATATTTTCTCACCCTAGTTGATGATTACTCACGATTTACTTAGATCAAATTCATGAACAATAAATCTAAATCTAAAACACATTTAACACAATTTGTCTTTATGATTGTAACTCAGTTTCATACCAACTTAAAAAAATTTTGCAATGACAATGGAGTATAATTTTTATTGCATGATTTATTTCTCCTCAAAAGGCATTATTCGTCAACGAACCTATGTTGAGACCCCTCAACAAAACGGTATTGTTGAACGCAAACATCAACATATTTTAAATACAGCTAGAGCTTTGTTTCATCAAGCACATTTCCCTTAAGCATTTTGGGATTTTGATATACAACAAGTTGTCACATTATTAATCGATTTCCTACTCCATTGTTGCATTTTAAATGTTCTTATGAGTTGTTGTATAATCAACCCCCTAACATGATTCATCTCAAAGTTTTTGGTTGCCTTGCCTATGCTAGTGCTCTTCAATCTCATAGAACTAAGTTTCAATCTAGAGCAAACAAAATTGTTTTCTTGGGTTATAGAGAAGATACAAAAGGATATGTTCTATATGATCTCCAATCTGATCAAATTTTCATTTTAAGAAATGTTTTTTCTTTATGAAAATGTGTTTCCTTTTATTGTGTATGTTGTTAAGTGACGAAATTTACTTATAATATGAGTTTTGAGGAATACTTAACAACAATTTGACCTTAATTTTTGTTAGTAATTTTCTCAATTTAGAATAAATTGCTTATATCCTTTTTATGCAGTATTAGTTACATAAATTCAGAAGAAGAAGAAAGAAATCAATCAACTATTGGAAAAGAAATTAGAAGAGTAGAAAAAATTGATTGATCAACGAAACAGGGAACATGACAGGGGAACTCGCGAGACATACCTCGCTTAAGCTAGAAAAGCGACAACTCATGGTAGTTCTCGGGTTGAATGCACTACAAAAAAAAACCTATTATCTACAAAATATTACCTACGGATATTATCCGTAGGTAAATTATATTAAATTAAAAGAAGTGTGATCGACAAGATTCAAACCTAATACCTTAAAGTTGGAGAATGATATTCCAATCACTAAATTACTAAGATTTTTTAATAATAACTTACAAATAAGTTATATTTATTTACAAATAAATGTATATCCATGTAAATATATAAATATATAAACATATAAATATATAAACATATAAACATATAAATATATAAACATATAAACATATAAATATATAACTATTTAAATATATATAAATATATCAAACTATATAAATATATTAAAATATAAATATATTTGTATTTATATATTTTATATTTATATATTTACATGAATAAATATAAATATTTATTTGTAAGTTATTATTAGAATATCTTAATAGCTTAGTGGTTGGAGTATTAACCTCCAATTCTAAGGTATTGGATTTGATTCTTGCCGATAATAATTCTCTTAGACTGGATAATAATTCAAACTTCTAAAAGTGTAATAAATAATATAAATATAATATAAAGGGGAGGGGGGCTCTAAGTAATAATAAAAAGTAAATAGGGGTTGTAGTAAATAAAAATATTTTGTTCAAGTGAGTGCATTACCTACGGATTTTTGCCGTAGATAATAGACTTTTTTTTGTAATGATGTCGCTTGAGCGAGACATGTTGCAACTCTTGGTGGTTCTCAGGCTCAATGTTGCTCGAGCGACACATTCCTCGCTTGAGCAAGAACACTACAACTTTTGGTGGCTCTCAGGTTTTACATCGCTTAAGCGAGACATACGTCGTTTGAGCGAGGAAAGTTGTAACTTTGAGTGACTCTCGGGTTTAACTTTGCTCAGGAGAAGGGACTTTAGCTTGAGCGAGACTAGGTTTCTTTAGGATGAAGTTTTTTTCTCGCTTGAGCGAGAAATCATTAAAATAGAAAACATATAAAGAATAAAAGAAACTTTTAAGTGGTGGTTGCATGGGAGACACTGAAGAATTAGGGTTTAAGAGACTGAAAAGGAGAGGAAGAAGACTCAAGTTCTACCCTTCGGCTTATTAACTTCTTTTGTACTTCTCTTGACTTACATATATATAAAATCTTGTTATTCAGTATTAATGATTTGATTTTATGCTTAATGCTAAGGTGACTTGATCAACCATATTTTGATTTCTGATTTGGGTTTATGTTGGAAAACTAAACTTGGATATTTTAAATCAAATCATCTAATAATGTTGTATGCTAGGAATAGATGTAATATTATTAGTTGATATAATCCTGAGCTTAATGTAAAAAGCTTATTTTAATTATTCAAGGGATTGATTATTATAATAAGATTTTTAAAAACTCTAAAGCAAGGGATTACTTATAGAGAATTTTAGGACTCAATAGTACTGGGCTGAAAAATTAAATATGTGAGTAAGAGGAAGACAGAAGAAGGAGATAAGTGAAATTCATTCTCAATGCATCTATTTGATATTGTAGTTCCACCAAGTAATTTTCTACTTTAACTAAAATTTACACAATTAATTTATTAATCATGTTTAAATTACTTATTTAATTGTAAGTTAAACTTAAATCTATAAATATTATTGAATACTTCACAAGTCTTTAAAAATATGACACTTGTTTATACTACAACCACCCAATACGCTTGTTGGTAAAAGAAAAATTCTTAACACCTACTACCTCACCCAATGTTTCTCTTTCACTTCCTTTACTATCTGAAAATACACAACATTCTCCTCACATTCCTATTATTACTCCCACCCCTGACCACACTTTTAGCCCACACATAGATACTTCCTAGTCTATATAACAACAATCTTTTCAACCCATTAGACATGCTACTAGACGTTGCTGCCAACCTTCATACTTTACAGATTTTCATTATCACTTTGCAGTGGTTTCTAGCGGTTCAACTCATCTTTTTGAAGGTAATTGTGCTTATCCTTTATCCTCTGTTCTTAGTTATAACCATTACAATACTTCCTATAAAAGTTTTTGTTTTTCTGTCACCACTGTTTCTGAACCTAAGACTTTTCACCAAGCCTCTAAATTGGATTGTTGGAAAAAAGGCTACTAATGTTGAGTTACAAGCTTTGCAGCAAAATAACACTTGGTCTCTTGTTGAGCTTTTCAAAGGTAAAAGTCCTATTGGGTGTAAGTGGGTCTACAAGATAAAATATCATGTTGATGACACTATTGAACGCTATAAGGCACGCCTAGCTGCCAAGGGTTATACTTAGTTAGAAGGTGTAGATTTTTTTTGATACCTTCTCTCCAGTTGCTAAAATAACCACGATACAAGTTCTTTTAGTTATTGCAACGATTAAAGGATGATTTTTGGAGCAACTTGATGTAAATAATGTTTTCCTTCATGGGAAATTGCTTGAAGAGGTTTAATGCTCCCTCCACCTAGTTTACTCCCTCCCGGTTCTTCTCAAGTTTGTCGCTTGCACAACGCCCTTTTATCTCAAGCAAGCTAACAATCTTATGTTGATCTAACTTTATTTGTAAAATCGAGTTCTAACTCTTTTACTACCTTATTAGTTTACATTGATGATCTTGTTCTTGTTGGCAATGATTTAGTTGAGATTCAATTTGTCAAGCATGTCTTAGACACCAAGTTTAAAATTAAAGATCTTGGTTCATTGCCCTATTTTTTGGGACTTGAAATTACAAGATCAAAGTCTGACATACATATGAATCAACACAAATATACTTTTTAACTCCTTGATGACACCAAACCTGTTCCCATTTCTTTTTATCTCTCTACCAAATTGCAAGTTATTCATGGTCAACCTCTCTCTGATGCTGCTAGCTACATACATTTGATCAGTAAACTTTTGCATCTTATCGTCACGCAATAATTAAACTGTGTATTGACAATCAATGATTTACATGTTCCGTTGGATCCTACAACTGTGTATTGACAATCGTTCTTCAACTTAACTTATTGATGTCTTCACCATACTCCTTTATCACATGTCATTTGACACTTTTGTTTTTAAGTTGGATCTTTGTAACATTGATTGCCCAACTTGAAGGAGTCTTATGATTAGATACATGTTAGTTTTTGTGTCTATATTAGTTAGTTATGATGTCTTTTTTATTTTTTTACAGTTTTCTCCTTCTACAGAGTTCTATATAACTTTGTTTGTAACCTTCTAATTTTTAAGTTCAATATAATAAGATTCATATATCATACCATGAGAACTAAAAATACATTTTTCAACTTAGGAAGAGAAGACTTTATTTATGTAATTTTATTACAATAAATTTTCTCTCTTAACTCAGTAACCAGAAACATTACTTCCCTTCAAATAAAAATCACTCTCCAACCCTTCCCACGTCACTTGGAAAAACAACCAGACCATATGGTATCTCATATATTAAGACACCCTTTGGAATAACAGAATAGACAACGAGACAAAACAAATTAATTGAACAAAAAAAAAAAAAACATTGTAACTAGATTGGTCATTACCAACACATTCTTAGCTATTTACTCGTGCACATTGTTTCCTTATCTCTCCTTCAGTTCCAACTTTAACCTTAATTCGTCCCATTTTCTCCATGGACTTGGCAAATTGTGCAAAGAATCCTTCGGTTGATTGAAGTTGCGTAGTGATAATGGACCTTGTGGTAGAGCTAGTGAGCAATGCAGCATCTGATTGGAACAAGCCCCTTCTCTTAACCACTTGTTTATAATAGTCAAGATCAAATGTATCGTGGCTTCCAGGGTCCAGCTCAACAAGTGTGGTGACATCATTGATGTTCTTGCACTTTAAGGTCTTGAGATTTGTTGCATATTCACTATCTAAACTTGGGTCAGTGTCACCCTTGCCAGTGAAATTGTATAAACGAGTTGAAATTGTTGAGCAGTGGGCAACACCAATCGTGTGAGCACCTGAAGAAATTAAATACTTGGTGGTTAGAAACACAAATTTTCAAATACAAACACAAAGAAAAAAAAAACAAAATTAGATATATTTTTTGAATTACGTCATTCATATAATAACAACTTTTACAATATTTTGTACAATGGTACTTCTCTTAATTGTATTTTTTTTTTTTTTTTTTTTGGTTTGCACACAGTATGTCTTTCAACCAATGGGCGAAAGATTATTGATTTATTTCTTTATTATGTTAAAGATATTCTTAATTTTTTTTTAGTTTTTAAAAATTAAAAAAGCTTGTTTGCTAAAGTTTTCATTAAAAAATTAAAAAAATAATTTAGTTTTTAAAAACTAAACATAAAAAAGTTAACAAAATACATTTTATATTTCTATTATAATGATATTCAGTTCATATAAAATTATTAAAATCATTTTTAACTTTAGTTAAAAATTGTCATTATTGTTAATATCATCCTCTTTATTCAAAACAGTTTTCAAACTAGTGTATTAATCAAATTTCCAATATTAATCGTTAAAACTATTTTTAAAAATTAAAAAACAAAACTAGATCAAACCATTATTTTTATACATTGATATTAGTAGTGTGGATTTTGTCGTTCTCAACACAGTCTCTCTATTTTCATTGCCATAAACCAAATCTCTAATAGCATGATTATGGAAGTCGAGTTATGTACTTAAGTTACATGTGAGATCGTTATTGTATAATTAATTGTTGTACAAATAATATTAATGATACTTTTTGGTGTTATATTCTAATCCAAATTAAAGTTTTGCCTTCATAACTGTGTTGTTCTATGATGGAAACTTTTAATATGCAACTTAGTGTGTTGGACATACCAGCAAGCACAACAAGGTCGTTTACATCAAGTCCATTATTGCCAAAGAGTGTTAGCTGGACAGTGAGGTTGTGAAATGGAGCAGGAAGGCTGACTAAAGGATCTGCTGCCCTAGAGATAAGTCCATCCCTTCGACCTGTTGGAACATTCCAGTAGGGTCCCCCCTGTAAACCCATGTCAAGCATGGCACACCAAACAAATTGGTCATTTTCAATCTATTTTTAAGAAGCCAATGGAGATGAGGATGAAACAATTGAGTACTTACAATGGTTTGAATAGAGTCTCTGGCAGTCAAAGCCAATATATCAGCACAAGAGACTACCCCAGGGCATTCAGCTTCAATAAGGCTCTTTATTGTGTCAATGAAGCCAAAGCCTCGGAGTGTAACATTCGGAATGGAGTCCTTTTCAGCTTGATTGTTTTGCGTTGAGTTCACAAGCACTGATCCATCACAACCCTGAAATTAACATGTACTACATGTTTAGTTAAACTCACCTCCTAGGTTAAACAAGATAGTCACTAAATGAAACCAAAATATGTGCATACGTTGACAAAACAATCATGAAAGTGAAGTCTTAGGAGAGCAGCTGCTAGAGATGGAGCATTGGGAATATGATCTGCAACATAATTGAAAATGATCTTCTCAGCATTTGGACAACTTTTGGCATAGAAACCAAGCTGCAATTGAGCTTGGCTTGATCCAAGTAGTGCCATGAGACAAATAATCAAAGCCTTGAAGTAACTCTGTCTTCCCATTTCCACTTTTGGCCGAGACCTTGATTACCAGATAAACCCTGTAGAGGATATGAAAAAACTCAGATACTTCTTGCAAGAAGCAACTTCATGTCTTTGGTTGATTCAGAAAGTGTCAAGTTACTTATAGTCCTCATCTTGTGTTACAATAACTAGGCAAATTATAGGACGGTCCATGCAGCATGTTACGTACATGTTACTTTACCACATATCCTTCCATTTAATAATGTTAGTAGTCTAATAAAAAACATATTATGCAACGAATTGGTACAGTTATCTTCTAACAAAAATAGAGATAAGAAGAGAAAAATACGAGATAACAAATATAATTAATGTGATGAGCAAAGAAAAAACTTATATAAAACACAACTCCAACTAATCAGTTAGTTGGTGCATGTCTATTGATCTTTTTAAAATTTGTCATATATCACATCTTATATACGAACAGCTTTCATTTATCAGTAGATTTCATATAATAGTAACATTTAATTTAAGCAGATTCTTGGGTGACTAACGCATATATGTACAAGGAATTGATGTGAACTTGCTAACAGCTAATAAAATTACCGTTTAGAAGCAGGTTTTATGGAGGAATTTAAGCATGAAAAAGTTGACTTGGTTAGTATATATATGAGGCTATGCATTATCCTGTAGCACACTTGAGCTGTCCATGGTTGAAATTAAATTAAGGGTAGCTTCTTGCAGCCATCTATGGACAAATTTTTGGATATATAAGAAATGCGAACGTGGCACATGAATTATAGAGTGGGTGAAGAACAGTTGCATGGTTCTAATCATTATCATTATAATACAATTAAACACTCGAAAACGACAAAGATAGAGACAAACAGTCGCCCTTTTCTTTTGGAAAACAAAGATAGAGTTAAGAAGGGTTTGTTTGGGTGATCCAACATCTTCATTAAGGGTTTATTGAATATGTGTAATTTCTAACAACTTTCCTATAAATACTTACAGTAATGTCTAGTTCTTTCAAACACTTTTTACAACACCAGTTATATATTAACAGACCTAAATACATCGAGGAAAAAAAGATGTATAAAGACATGGTCTTAACCCGATGTTGAAAACAATCACTTGTTTTATAAAAATTGGTAAAAATAACGAAACTTCTTAAACCTATGCATGAAAAAAAAAATGGTGTGCATACCGTTGAAAATTTGAGATTGCTTTGCTGGGATCTCTTCTAAAGACAAGTGGAGGCTAAGTTGACCATGTCCATAAGCAACTAAGCATTAGAATGATAAGGTTTAAAATATAAAGTCAGAAGTATGTAAAAGGAGATTGTTATGGCTAATGTTGTGGAGAGAATATCGCAGCGTGGGCGTGACCAAGATCAATCAACATTACTTGCTTAAGTTAATATGTTTCAAACACTCGCCAACCTACGCAAGTATACCCTAGTAGATATGGATAACGAGAGTAGAGTTAACCTCCATTATTAGTAGGAATTCGAATTTCTAAACATTTTTTTTTCATATATAACATCTATTATTTAGCAAAAGGGGTGTTTAAAATAATCTTAAAAGAACTTATATGCAGAAGTTTTTGTTCCTCCATATTCATATATTTTTCTGTTTTTACTTTCTTAAGTTTCTGTTTTCATTCTTCTCACTTTTTTGTTTGAATTAATCGTGTTTTTAAAATTCAGTATTTCTTCCTCTCTAAAGTAATATTTCATCTTCATTCTCTAATATTATAAACAAATACTGAATTATTTGATGAGTATATTCATTATAAATTATTATTAAATAAGATACTTTACATTAATAATGTTTTGTTAGCATAAGATTACTCAATTTACACATTTTCATAATACTGTTTCAAAAAATAATTTGGTGAACAATTATTTAGTTAATATATTTAATAAAAATTCAAACTTTTAATATGGAAATTTATCAGATAATTTTGCTTAGTACAATCCAACCCACCGACACTTTAGTGGTAAAATTAATATCTTCTTCGTTCAGTTTCTTTTATATATATATATATATATATATATATATATATATATATATATATATATATATATATATATATATATAAACTATATCTTAAATTGAATTATTTTCATATGGTACTAAAGGTAATAAAAAAATATAACTTACTAGTGACGACGTAGACCTCAAGAGAATAGGAATGAAATACATGACCCAATTTGGAGGACAAATTTTAAATTTGTTTCCCAATGTTTTAAATCTTATTTCTACAAAATGTTGGTAGGATTATCAACTTAATGTGTAAGGGAACAATGAGTGCTCAAATTAAACCCTAATAAATAATGTGTGACTACTGTACGTCAAAAGAAAGAAGTGTATATTTTAAGTCAAATAGGTGAATAAACTCTATAATTAAAACTCCATAAAGTCTACAATGATTCGTGCATTAATGCATAATCCATTTTAACCAATGACTATTTTTTCTCTAATAAAAAATAGCCTTGATTTAAAAGAGTGCAAAAAAAAAAAAATCAGAACACTATCCAGGTTTTCGTACGACATTGAATAAGTATAGTTAAATTTAAAATAAGTGTTTCTTAAATAAACAATTTTTAAAATAATCACTTCTTTAATAAATAAATTTGTTTTTTTGTTCAATATATATTGTTTTTATTTAAATAATTAAATCAATGTACAATGGTATTAGGTAAGGGAAAAAAAAAAACTTGCTCCAGCATAGCAATTTTGTTTGCCAGCTTCTCATATATGATTGAATATTATTGTATATGAAACGATCCCTTTGATTTTGCAGTCGAAAGAAAAAAAAGATAATTTTATATAATTGTCAACATATGAATTATTTGATCAAATTACCAACACCATATAAATAAAGAAGTTTTAAACATGTAATATATTTTCTTTTCTAAAGATTCATTAAATGGTATTGTGTGTGGATCTTGTCACATGCATGTTTTGACCAAGACATGAAAATGGCTAACTTTTCTTGTTTAATTGAATTGTTTATGTTAAACTTAAGATAGTCTATAAACAACATCTAAAATTAATTAATTAATTAATTTCTATATTAAGTATCGATTGGACCTCTAACTAACTCAAATATAATAATATATGATTGGGCCTCTTCATTTTCCAGTTCGACCCCTAAAACTATTAAACATGTACCTCCCAATATATTTTTTTCTGTTCAACCATGCTGTTTTGTATTCGTATTATTTGATATAATAAGTTCACAAAAAGGATGCACACATTCATCATCAATAAATAAATAAATATAAAAAAACTAACTTCCGGCTTTAAAGAAAATAAATTGTAACCAGTCTTTTTGTTAGTTAAGGAATTATTTATAATTAAAATATATATTAAATTTGCAATACATTTTTACATAATTTTCAATCTAAAAATATTTAATATTTATTTAACTAATATTTAAAAATAGAAAGAGAACAGATAATTAAAGTAACGAGTCATAATCATAACTAATAACAAATATCTTAAAACTTTGAATAACTCAATATAATTTTTGTGATTAGTTGACAATAAATAACAAATTATCCATTCACAGGAAATGCTTCTATTAACTTAATCAAATTAGTCCTTTTTTTTTTCATCGTGCTTAAGGCAATCTGCGATTAATAGATTGCTATAAAGATAGGGGTTGAACGCAAACACCCCATGTGATATGTAAAACTCTAACAAAGTTGAGTTTTTGAATTCAATTACATACGAAACAAACAAAAAACATTGATAAACAATTGATTTCCATATAATTTACAAATGATAGACATAAAAAAATAGGCGTTTCATTACATGAAAAAAATAGGGTTGTAAAAATAAAAATAAAAGTGTACGTGAATTTAAGTGTGATGTGGAGATAAAGTACAAACATGCATGCATTGCTAAATTAAAATGGGCGATTTTAGAACACTATATTTCCAAGCGTGTATACAGCAGATGCTATACCTTTATCATATTTACATGTGTATGTATATAAAGTTTAGAAATAAATATTTTTACAATGCGGTTGGGTGAGATTATGCAATATGAAAATCTGGGGAAGTAAACCTGAAATTTTCATTATAATCATCATCAACGGGATTGAAGAAGAGGTAAATATGAGATCCATCCTGGATTCCACAGTCAACCAGAGACAGCTTTTCTTCCTCCTTGCTCATCAGAGGGCATTCATGAGCATCAAGAACAAGTATCAAACGATCACAAGGGAGTTTTTGTTGAGCCTCAATTTCCTTCTTTAGATCCTCGACTGTGGCATCATTGCTCACTTGAACGTAGAAAAGTGTTCCTGTCAAATTCTCCACCACCACCTTCATCGCCTCATACATTAACCGTTAGTGCTACTATCCATTTTTTCTTATTTTGAACTTAAAACACAAATGGATTTGCATGAGAAAAAGGAAGTTAGAATTTGAGTTTTGCCACAAGAATGTTCATGTGTGCTGCATTTTCGGAAGTTAGTTTAGCCACATTGAATGCAAGTTCATATGCCAAAATTAACCCTTTTTTTTTTGTTATTCATATTATATCAGAATATTAAAAAAAAAAAAACGAGAGTGAGCGACATACTTGAGGCACAAAAGCTCGTTTATTTTTCCAATTATATAAAATGAATTATTCTCAATTTATTTTTAGTGTTTTTTACATGACTTGTCATACACAATACTTTATTAAAAGTGTCAGAGTTGACCATGTAAGTAAGTTTAAATTATATTTTTTTTTTATTGTTTTGACAAATTCTTTTACCGTTTCTTTATGGCATGTCAATGTTAATAAAGGGGATCTATAACTTCTTTATTGTTGTGGTTAACACAATATTAGAAAGTATAAATTGCGTTGACTTATTCTCCATTTTAAAAACTCTTGAAAAAAACTACGAGAAGATATTTTAAAGAATGGTTTCTATCAAATTTATAAAAGCATTATACAATTTCGGCACCTTTTAGCATTTTTCTTATGTAGTGGATTGTAAAAGTATGTCTCCTATATCCACCTCAAAGTAATTTAACCATAGTTCTAAGCAAAACCAATTCTAATTAGTATACAAGGTTTTTTTAGTAATTAATAATAATAATAATAATAATAATAATAATAATAATAATAATAATTAAATAAGCTTCGTGTCGTTATCTGATCGGTTTTTTTAGTGTCTAATAAACATTTCTTTAAATTTTGGTATCTAATAAATCAAATATTTTTGTTTTAAGTTTGTGAATGAAATATAACTTGATTGGAGTTGTTAAAATATTTTTAAATTTTTTCAGTTCTTCAATTATTTTTTATCATTACAATCATCATTCTTTGCATCATATGAAAAGGCAATTTTACAACAACTTAGCAAACATATAAGTAATAAACTTAACCTAGATAGCAAAAAATATTAAAACCAAAAATGTGGTCAATTTTTAAATACACAATTTACAGAAAATTTTTATTCAGTATTCAAAAAAAAATCACTTGTAGATTATGATTTTTAAGTCTAATGTTATAACACCATATATGCCTGTTACAACGGTCCACCATTAACATTAACACTGTCTTATATGTGTTTATGTTTTATACATGTCCTATAAGAATAAGCTATCGAATAAAGATTATATTAGGTATAATTTGTTTGACCAACTTATTCATAAATATTGCCAAGAGAAAAAAATTAACTTATATTTTTAAAAATAAAAATAAAATAAATTATATGAGAAAATGTATATAAATTAATTTAAGAAAATGGTAATTTTATTATTTGTTTTAAAGTATTTATGAAAATGTTTGTATATATAGAATATTTTTATAACTTAAAATATTAGTACCTTTCGTAAGTTCTCGTGATTAACTAAACCACTAAAGTAACTGAGTCATTTAACTTAGGCAAATGCACTTTAGAGAATTAAATCTTATAATAGCCACATTATACGCAAGTATTATTATAATTTATTTTTTAAAATGTTTTTTTTTTTATCAAAATCAAATCTAATTCAACATATAACGAGATTAAAATAATAAATCAAGAAACATGGAGTTCTTCCATAGTTTATTTGAGTTTGATGAGCATTTTAGTTACTAACTTTCTAATCTAAATTGTTAACTAGAATGACTTGGTTAGTAAAAACTCATTAAAATTTGTTTGTAATAAAAGATAGCAACCCATATATAGTTACATGTATATTTCCTAAAACACATAGAAGTGAAATAGGTATGTAAAGATTTGTATATAAATAAAAAATGCGTAAGTATGAGACGATGAAATGAAACCAATAAAACTAGTTAATTACCACTATACTAAAACTCATATAACAAAATCAAATATTTAATTATCAAGCATTTAAATGTACACGTTTAAATTAATTACATTTTTGTTTTTACTTATAGACTACTTGTCTGTACGAAGAAAAATTTATTTCAATACAAATATAAAAACTTTTATTTTTGTTATTATTTTTTATAATATAATAATCTTTAATAGTATTTTATTTTAATTATTGTATTAAAAATAGATTAAAATATAAGTCTTTAATTTTTTTATAAATATTTTTTTCCATATATGTTTAAGTTGCATTATATATACTCTTTCCTATATACATATACATTTTAAAAATATAATATCTTCTCTCCCGATATATTCACGTGTGGAATACTTTAGTCTATTTGTACATAAAAAAAATAAAAAAATAAAAACAGAAAACTCTCAGTAACACTTGACCTTGCATGGAAATAAATAAATAAATAATTAATAATGCATGCTTGTTTATAGTTGCTCCCTACAATATACGTCAAAGTAAATTGAAGAATGTAGTTTTCATTTATCAAGGAAGGAAAAAATGTATTTTTTACATTTTAATGGAAATTTTGAAGAGAGAATATATATTAACTTTTAAATATCATTTTAATTTTACATTACATTTATTTTTAAGATAATATAAAATTGCTGATTTTTTATGTTATTTTTATTTTCTTTAAAAAACAAATTAAACTATAAAACAATTATAATATACCATATTTAATGTTGTGTTTGGATTAAGAATTGAACTTAAATAAGTAAAAAAAGAAAATAAAAAGAATAAAAAGTGTGAGAAAAAATAGAATAAAAATTAAGAAAAATTTAGTAAAAAAAGCTATGAAATAAAATTCAAGATCAATATAAAAAAAAATCTGATCTCTTCTATTTCAGTAATTATGATATTTATTTATAGGTAGCAAATGCAACTTAAAGGTTAAATTATATAAATAGTAGTTAAAATTAATAAATATTAATAGAATAAATAGACCATCAATACTAATTTATAACACCTCTCTGAGTCCTGAATTAGTAGAGAGTATGTCTCCTTAATTAGGATGAAAATCATATATATTAAAATTTTATTTATGCTAAAGTCATGAATCAATTATAAAATATAATTCTACTTTTTAAATATTTGGTAAAAAAATTTGTTAAATTTTTACGGGAGCAAACCTTTTGAGCTTTTTATCACCATTCATTTGAAGATAATGAATAATTTTTTTTAAAAGGTCTCTGTCTATCTCTTTTTAATAAATATCAATATATGTATTATTATCTCTATGTATAATTATTTATAACATTTTTCCTCTATATATTGAATTACATATCTTAACTAACACATAATTACAGTTAACTTGCATAATGCTCCTAAAATTTTTGTATAAATTAATTATGCTATTGTAATGATTTATTTCATATATTATTATAACATTATAGTGTTGTTATTTATAAATAAATATGTTGTTTTTATCTATCATTATGGAGATCTGGAAAATAAATTAGGTATACATGACCTTATAAAACTAATTTTGAACATTTAAATAAAATAAAATAAACTCAACCATGTTTTCAAAATAATAAAATATATTTAATGGTTGGTTAAAGATAAAGATTTTTATCATACTAATAAATTAAAAAAAATATTATATCATGTCGAATATAAAATTAACAAAATATATTAGTTTCTTTATAACAAAATATCTTTTTATCAATTAGTTACCCTTTTCTTAATAATTAAAAGGATATTTTAATTATTTTAACTATATGTAAATATTTTATACATAATAAATTACCAAAATATTATTAATTAAAATTAAATAAAATTAGTATGAACTGAAAATAAAAAATAGTTAAATATAAAATGATCATTTTTCAAAATTTGAAATAATATTAAATAAATATTTAAAAATAAATTTTAAATAATTTAAATAATTTAAATAATTAATTTATTTCACATATCAATTAAAATATTAAAAAATATACATGATGTATTTTAAAATTAAAATATATTTTAATCCAAAAATTATTTAAAAATTATGTACATCTTACATATTAAAACTTAAAAAAATTCAATCATATATTTGTAAGTTATTAAATATAATTTCGGTAAAAATAGATAAATAAATAATAATTAAAAAAATTAGAACGTGAGATAATTTTTATTATTAATAATAATTTTATTTATTATCTTGAATACAATTTCTTTAATAATTTATTAATATTATAAAAATAAATAATACATATACTCCATTATGAAATCCAAATAATAGAATATCATTTTACGTAGAAAGTGAGATATTTTATTATTTTTGTTTTTTAAAATAATTTTAGAAATCTTTTCAATGTTCGTATAATCATAGGGATACTATTGATTATGTATATTGAATTCAAAGTAACTCCATCTTGAATTTATATATATATATATATATATATATATATATATATATATATATATATATATATATATATATATATATATATAATTTTTCTCTCCCTTTCTTTTCATTTATATAAATATTTTAAAAAAATTATACTCAAATAAACTGATACAAATATATAATTTCCCGAATCCGATATATTTCTTTTAAATCAGAATTTCGAAGAGAAACATAGGCTAAAAGAAAACAAGGAGACTCAATTAGTGTGTATAAGATGAAATTGCCCGGCCTTAATATAAAAGGCCCAATTTGAGGTCCAGAAATGATTGCATATCTACGTCTAAAGAAGGTCCAGAAACTTAGGTACAAAATAAATGTCTCTTTAATTCTTCTTGTTTTTTTTTGGAAGCATAGTTTAATCATGAAAATCTAAATAATTAAAAATATTTATGTTTATTGATGTAGTTTGCTACGTCTAATAATCGATATAGAGAAAGGAGAATAATGTTTATTCAGTTAAATCCTTACATTATTACAAAAAAAAATATTAAATCGTTTAATTTTCATATAATATCTTTTGATAGATGGATTCAATTGAAATACTTAATATAAAACAAAAATAATAAATTATATAAATATAGAAATAAGGTAAAATATTTAACATAATTTGTGTACTTAATTATAAATTTATCATATCAAATCCTAAAAGGAAACGAAAGACGTACAATTGACTACATTAAAAAAATAGAAAAAAAATGAAAAATAATATTAATGCATGCATACGTGTTTTTATATATGATAAACCTTATTTCATTTCTTCTTCTTTTTTGTAAGACATAAATCATGCAGTATTTTTAAGAATTTTTTTCTCTTAATTTTAATCGATATATATTATTATCAAAGATAACAATATAAACAATAGAGTAATTATATTGACATGTAATACCTTATTATTTAAGGTGATATACATGGTCATTTATTACTATAAAGTCATAATAAAAACAATATTATAATAATTATAAAATCAAGATACATGTAATATTTAATACTTTATTGATTTATTTAATTATTTTTATAAATATATTTGTTATTATAATTAAACACACTGACGTTCTTTTCGAGTTTTAAAACATAACAAATCAATAATTAAAAAAAAATTAAAGTACAAATAATACATGTAATATATAATAAATATAGTGGATAATACATACATTATTTATTTGTTATATTAATAGTGATATTTCTTATTCTATTTTAACTTTTAGTCCAGTATATATATATATATATATATATATATATATATATATATATATATATATATAATCTTGATATGTGAAACTAAAATTTTAAAAATTAATAAAATATTTTAATAATGTTAAAACTATTATTAAAAATAAAAATATATTATATTAGGAAAAAAATGATATGAAATGCAGCGATTTTGGTGGTTGGGAGCACTTGTCTCGTATCAGAAGCGCCCTATATAAACTTGACCCAGTTTTTGTTCCTATTTCGCTCACGTTTTTCGTTATTTCCTTCGTTCCTTCCTCCATTGTACTTTCTTTCCCTCTCGCAAGTGTTAGGTATTTCATTTTCATAATTCTCTTTCTTTATCTGCGTATATTTTTCTTCCTCTTTTTTTTATTTATTCTTTTGATCTCTCTCTTTATTTTTATTTTTTTTCTTTGTGGGTTTTTGCATCCATACCGCGTTTTACGTACGCAAGCTCGTAACTTTAACCCCTCGCCTTTTTTGCGAACGAGAGTTTCTTTCATACCCAAGTATTAGTTTTTTATGTGGACTTTGATGTTAGTTCTTTGTTAACCTGACAGTTCATTAATGGGATTTGAAAACTGTTTCTTTTGTATTTGCGATTTGCATGATCATGATACCGGTTTCATTCTTTTGTTGAGTTTAAGTCAATCTTTTCCCCTTTTCTATATTGAGGTTCATTTTGTTTGACATTATTTTTATGTTTTTTTCACTTTGATTTGGGGTTTTATTATTCTATGTTTCTTAGGATTTTGGGTGAAAGAAATGGCTTGTGATTCATTCTTTATTTGTGGTCCATTTGTTTGGTTTGCTAATTCGGTCACTCATACCTTCTTTCTATACTTACTCTTTAGTTTCTGGGTCAGGAGCTGGTTAGGTTAACCTTTAGCTTCGTGGAATCCTTGACTTATTGTTCCAAATAGATATATCATTCCATTTGAGTATATTGTATTAAATGATGAACTTTTTTCGAGCTTGAATGCATTGTAACAAACATTGATGTAGTGAATAGTGAGGATTTCTTTATGCGTATTCTTTGATATTTTCGGTCTTTGCTGGTTATGTGCAAGGGAAGTAGATTATTGTAATTATTGAACTTAGCATGTGCATATTTATTTTTAAACATTCTCTTTACGAAATTATATGGTTCTTCTTTTTGTCTGTATGGGATATACGTGTGTGTGTTTTATGTGTCTTTTCTTTTGTACGTATGGTATGTATGCATGTGTCTGTGCTTGTATGCATCACAAGGACATTCTTTCATCAGACTAATCTTAATTTGGTAGTTGATACATGATTGCTGGCTGTGTTTTGATTGATGATTATGCACGTTGACGGTGAAATAAGAAAATTTTGTTTTGGGGTGCAAGTTTTATACTCATGAGACCATATAAATTTGAGGATTCTAAGGTATGGCGGAGAGGTGATCGGATGATCGTTGCATTGCAGCCAAATTATGCATCCATGTATATAATAAGCAATGAGTCTAGTTGTAAAGGGTGTAGATAAGTAGCAGATGGCTGCAAAGAATATGACTGGGGCATCTTGTAAGTCGTAGTAGCCCTTATTAGAGAATGGAGTATCATCAATCATGAGCGTTCAACCTAAAGCATAAGCTTTTAGAAGAGTTGAACCTTGGCATCTGTGAGGATGACATGGGTTTTTTCATTGGTATCATTTGATTGATTCCGTCATATTTTACTGCTAAAAGGGCATTTCATAATGGGGAGTTAGGATGCTGATATGCTCTGTAGTTATAACAATTAACTGGAGGAAATCTTTAAATCACTTTATTGCATGGCTGGGTATCGATTGTAAGTATTGTATAATAAAATTGTAAATTTGAATGGGTGTTAGTATGAAGATCTGAACATCGTGTAGTTGTTTTAAAACCAGATTATGTTGGGGCCCATATGGGAAGAGTAAGTTTGTATCTGTTTATGTCTTTGTTAAATAGAAGACGTATTCCGTTTCTGTCCATATTTGTAGCATAAAGGCAACGACATTGTCGAAAATGTCAATATCACATCTCATATCTGACTTGCAGTATATTTAATTTCTCTGTTCCAGCGCTTGTTGATTGATTACCACAGAAGGATTTATTCGTTACAAGTAACCAAGGGCAAGTTTCATGTCTGAATTCGAAACAAACATCCCAACTACTTTTGGTGGGTGTTGAATATCTCAGTTCATATATATTTTTATGGCATGAAGAAATTCAATATTAGTCTGAAAGCAGAAATGCAATAATTTATCAATGGTTTGCTTTCTGATGTGGTTTGACAATTGAACAGATCCCTTTGCTGAGGCAAATGCTGAGGACTCAGGTGCGGGGACTAAAGAGTATGTTCATGTTCGTGTACAACAACGTAACGGAAGGAAAAGCCTAACAACTGTTCAAGGATTAAAGAAAGAGTATAGCTATAGCAAAATACTCAAGGATCTGAAGAAAGAATTCTGCTGTAATGGTACAGTTGTCCAAGACCCTGAGTTGGGCCAGGTTTGTGTGTTTCTGTTCTTCATAAAAAAAATGCATCATGTAAATATTTTATTTGGTAACTGTAGGAGACTTAACTAACATGGTGTTGCTATTTGTTATCCACTGGACTTGTTTTCTCTCTCCCTTGATGTGCACATTCTTATTTAACGTGATTTTCAGCAAATCTAATTGAGTGGATATTCTCTTATAAGCCTAAACATGAGTTTTGTATGTATGGCAGGTTATACAACTTCAGGGAGATCAAAGAAAGAATGTTTCTACTTTCCTTGTGCAGGTAGAAATTCTGATAACTTTATTATAATGTGACTGTTGTTATTTACTGTTAAATAGGGTTGTGATATCTGAATTCCTCTGTGATGTTGCAAACAGGCTGGCATAGTAAAGAAGGAACATATCAAGCTTCATGGTTTCTAAGATCTAACCAACACTGGGAATTTAGCTCCATGCTAAATAGATATTTGCTGACTACATTTAAATATCAGCAGCAGCTTATAAATCTGAATTGAAGAAATTATTAGTCAGAGCAACATTCTGTTATATTTGTAGTTAGAGTCGTATATAATCTTTTGTGGTATTGTTTACCTGTTGTGGAAAGTTACTGCTGGGATTAAATGTTAAGATAATATGTCTACTTCTCAGACAATTGTCTTGAATAAATTTTTTATTATTCTCCCCTGTGCAAGTCACTAAGCCTCTTTGGGGTTACATTTTATTTTGGGGTCATTGACGTGCCAAATTTTGTTTACTGATGAGGGCAGTGTGAAATGTCGGTAGAAGAAAATAGAAACAATTGATATTTTTTTATGATTTTTTTATCTATAGCAGATTTCTTTCTTTTATATTATTTCAACTAAATGAAAATTGTCATTTATTTTTATTTATCTTCAATACATTAAAAAGTGTAATTATTATATTTTTGCCATCTGATTTTTGTCTATTTTCCTTCATGCCGTGTTTGATGTAGGGTTAAAAAGAGAGGAAAGGAACAGGTCTTGAGCGAGAGAAATTAAGAAAACGAGAATATTATTTTTTTGTTTTCACAGATCAGGGTTCTCTTAATGAATAAAAAAATATCACAGTTGTATTTAATGTGTTTATATAATTTCATTTTCAACTAGTTATTACTTCAACTTTATTATATGAATCTTATTTTTTTAATATATATATCATTAGTTACATTTTATATCTTACCTTCTCTCAATCTCACATTTTCTTTATTTTTTTTTAACATATATTTAATCATTTTCCCTCTCTTTTTAAATAAAATTAATTTAAAAAATTATATATTTTTCATTTCTTAAATCACATATTAATTTTCAAATTCTTTTGAATATAAATTAATAAATAAAGTAATGAAAAATTCGTATTTATTTTTTATTTTCTTAATTACATATTTAATCGATTTTTCCTCTCTTTTGAAAACTTTTTCATATTTTTTTATAATACATAATTTTAAGAATATTTATTTATATTTTAAAATTAATATATACATTAAATTTTAATTTATTAAAATAAAAACATAATAAAAAAATCAGACATAAATACTTGTATTTCCACTAATATTTTAATATTTAAATAGTTTATTTTCTCAGTTTTCATTTATTTTTCTTATTTTTTTAAATAGTTTTTATTACTATTAATATTATTATAGTCTTTTTTAGAATTAATTAATAATAATTACTGGTAAATAACAATATATTGTCGATCATTTTTTTCTTTTCAATTCTTTTTAATTAGAAAGCAGAAAAAATATTATTTTATTTTCCGTTTACTTTTTCTCGTATTAATTTAAAAATGGATGTTTCCTCATTTGTTTTATCTCACTTTTTTATTTTCAAATCAAACAAAATATACTAATATGTTAAAAAAAAAAATGCTAACATTGTTTATCAAAATATTATTTGTTGCAAACTTTTTAATATTTCCTTGCTTCCAGAGGATCCATGTCACCACACCATGGATATGAATCACCTATCCTTTTCTTTTTAACGATTTTTTGAGGTAAAAATATTACAACATGGTGAGATAAAATTTTTAATGATATTTTTCATGGTTATTAAAGTGATTTTTTTCATGCATAGAAGAAAAAATTAAATTTGTTCTATAGGAGTAACCAAATGATAGTTTAATAATATTTTTTTTATGAATTTAACTTCTTCTTTTTTTAAATCTTAATTTGCCGTTACATTCGTTCAACTTTTTTCTTTTTCTATTTTAATTTGAGAAATCCATGAGTATTTGGTAATTGTTTTTATCTTACCTAATTCTCAAATATTTATCTACGTATTATTAAAAAGTTTTTTTTTTAATGTAACTAAAAATTTATACATCATCATTTAAAATCATTCAATAATAAAAAAAAAATCATGGGTAATGATAATTTTAACAAGTACAAGTAACACTTAATCAGTATACTTATGAGTCTCATCATTTTAGGAGTCGAGATCAATAATAATTTATATATTTCATATTCTCTTAATTTAGTGAGACATTTTTTAAAGATAAAATTGTAATGGATTAGAGTTCCAAAACAAATAATATATCGGACATGAGAATTAATCCTAATGATGTTATCATAATTATTATTGAAAAAATTATGCAAAAAAAGACATTACTTTCACCAAATACATTGACCTGACTTAGATAAGATCGAACATGTTTGTTGGGATCAGCCTCCCCCAAAATTCTCAATGGTAGGTGTTTTCCAAATTGATGGTAAAGGTTCTTCCAAAATTTAACGGGTGAAGAAACTTTCAAGCTTGAAACTTGGTTAATCATGTATTCCTTAAATGTTTGACATATTTTCTCCTCCTTTAGTGCCTCCACCTTTGTGACTGGACTCACCCTCAAAGTGAGTATCAACTTTGAAGGGTGTGAATTGGAACCATGATTGTGATTGGTTCCTAGATAAGGCATGACACTTCAGAGGAGATTTCGTTAATAAACACAATTATTTTTATATTTTCTCACTTTTTTTTCATAAAAGTTTGCATTTCAGCTTTGTGTTTTGCTCAATTCTGGTAATTTCTACCTCATTTTTTAGCTGCATTTCCCCAAAATGTAATTTCAAGCGGTTGATTATATCTTCGTGGTTCATGGTGTTAATGAATGGGCTTGTTCGTTTGGGATATGTTTTACTGGAGTCCTGCGGTGAGTGCCAAATGTTATTAAAAGAGAACAACAATAATATAATAACAAAAAGCTCTACAAAGAGACTTGTGTAAGATCTTATTCAATTATTGAATCAACACTATCAAACTACGAGGAATTGGCACCAACGTGGCTAATCAATGTAGGTTGAGGTATGACGTAACTAAGCTATGTAAGTTTGGAATCAACGTGGTCAAGCTGTGTATGGTGATGGAACATTGGGATGGAGGACCTATAAAGGCACTACGATGCCTAAGTTAATATATGTATATTCTAAAAAATCAACTATTATCTTACACAATTTATAAAGATCATACAAAAATTTGAAAAGATATAATCAATTCATACATTAATTAGAAATTATTTTATGTATTCAATATATAATTGAATATTGAGGCATATTAGAGTTAAAAGGTAAAAACATTTTCTTCCATCAATTCATAGACATTATTTATAGCATAAAAATGTTCATTAAATACAAAATACATAAAGCACAAGAGTTTAAAGAGGTTCCAATACAAGTTAGCCATCTATCACTATTTTTGTCCATATAAAAAAGCTCAGTGTCAATATTGGGACTATAACTACGACCTATTTTATGACATTCTTAAATTTGTTCTCATATACTTCCATTAGCTACTTCTCAACTACTTGGAGATTAGCCACATATTTATCACATGTCTATTGGAGGGTAGTGACATTCATTTCGAGTAGCTTTAAATTTTTCCATGGCCACCCTAAGATTAGTCTCTGGTTTTTGTCATGTAAGTTAAGCAACTTGGTCGAACTCTTTGTCTTCTCGACTCTCTCTATTAAAGATTTCTTTTTCTTCGAGGCAAGATTATTATTCTCCGAAACCAGAACTTTGTTTTCTTTTGCCTTGGGCGAGAAGGCAACTTCAAAATTCGTCATATTCGTAATAAATTATTCTTTTTCCTTAAGAAGGACAATTAATTCTCTCATCCGTTGACCTTCAGCTATATGGATATCAACCACAATGTTCATCAGATGAATTATTGACTAACACCAGCCTAGAAGTACTTCTGTTGAGTCTAGGTTATCCCGAGGTCCAAAGGAACGAATAATTCCAATGTCATGGGGCAGAGGAAGAGAGATACCTATCATCATCTTGTTACCGGTCATGTTTAAGTGTCACATGGACTTTGCTTTTGGATTGTTGACCGAGATATGATCAAGGCGGGTTAAGGGTCCCTTTGAGCCACGAAAGACATAAGTTAGTGGATAAGGAGGGGTTTCATAGAGAATCCATGGTCTTGCAAAAGAAGTTGGTGGAGATGGAGGAGGCATCAAAATCTAGGTGGACTTTTCAAAATTTTGATATCATTTTTATCCTTGGAAGATAATCGATGATCGACCCAAAATTTAAATTTGGAAAATGGTCAGGATTAAGGAATAAATGGTGAGTGACATCTTCCCGAGCATATTTTAGCTTAAAGAAGCGAGATTTAATACGTTTAAAGGATGAGGAAAAAACTATGAATAAACCATCATGTTCATAACCATTCAGGGATACCCAATTAACCTCTTCCCCATGTTTTAGTTGATAAAAATACATAAATTTACTCATAGTAGGAAGTATATTAAGAAGGTCACAGAATTTAGAACTCTTTCAAGAAACCTCAACTATTGGGATACAACTAACTAGGGACTACACAAAGGATGAACAACATGTTGCATTCGAATTTGGAAAAAGGAACAAGATATATAAATCTTTAAACAAGCATTCACAAACATATGAAAAGTCTTCAAAATCTACTAGAGGTTTAATATAAACTTAATTTTGAGGCGAACATGCCTCGATGATAACAAACTCGATGTTTGTATCAACACAAACACCATAAGTTTTGCAAATATCCTCTATAGAGGATGTATATCTAAGCTCAGAGACATAAAAGTCAACCTTAGCGAATATTCAAGCATACTCAAGGTATGAGATAAGAGGGAAACAAGCCATTCAACTACACCTTTTTGAGATAGGTTCAACGGTTCTTGGAGGATGAGTTTCTAAAACACGATCGAAGGAAGCAACATAAACAATGGTAAGGGGAGGTGGCTCAAGTGCTATCCTAGAATTAGATTTCGTGGAACTCCCTTCTCCGATGGAACCTTGATCGATAGGGAGAACTTCGCATTCACCTATATGTGACTAAACAGAACCGTTCAAACCACCAGAGGAACCAAAAGAGACAAAAATAAAAGACATTATATGAAAAATTAGAGCGAAGAAGCAAAATGAATGTACC